GACTTGTTATTAAATCAGCTTCAAAAACGTGTGAATAATTCATAAGCCCATTGACCTATTAAATGGTCGATAATACATCACGTGCAGTGACAGTAGGGAGTTTAAACAGCGACGTTTTTGAGCGACGCACGTCAACCGGAAGTAGACTTTTTGCACTCTTGAGCTGTGATTTTGAACAAACGTTTGGGCAAATCGTCTCTATAATAGTAGAGACTCTTAGCAATACAAATTTGGTGGCGCCAAAGAATATTAAAAGAGAAAAAAGCTCACTTCCTGTTGACGTACGTCGCTCAAAAACGTTGTTGCTTAAGCTCTCTATTAGGGAACTTAAGCACCAGACGTTCTTGATTCACAAACGGCATGGCTGGCCGCGCAGAACTGGATCGAGGACGCGCTTTGCGTGCCAGTTGCAACTCATTAAGCAAAACAACGTGAAACCATCACGAACGCCGACAGAATAATTCAGTTGAAAATGCCTTTCAAAGATTTACGTTAAGTTTTGTTTCTTTCTTACAAAGAAAACATGATTTCAGAGGAAGAATTTCTACTTTGGTATGACGAATACGCTTCGAAGAACCAAGAATTTGAACATCTGGTTTCAACCTGAAAACTCGCCTTTTGAAGTCCGTGACAGCAGCTCAAGAACGTCTTGACATGCGCTGTGGCTGTCATAAATGTATAATCCAGGACACCAGAGAAATTAAGGCAAACAAAAATCTTTTTCCACTACCCACCTTCCTTTTGTTTGATCACATACTAAGATCCTAAAATTAAAGCTTTTCACTTTTCGCTCCAAAATGAAGCCTAATAAAAGCCTAGCAAAAAAGTGAGGGAAGAAAAGCGAAAATGAAAAGTCAAGATTGCTATGTCACTTTTAAATCCAAAAACTCTCGAAATTTTGTTTTCTGCGCATGCCCGAACTTCGCAAGGAACATGATGTGGTAGCACAGGTAGCCCAAGGTTAAAATATGAGCATCGGGGCATTGTTGCCTAACATTCGAAATATAAGGATTTGTATGGGAAAAAAACCTATCGTTTCTGTATCCTACGAAAATGAGAGGATTTCAATAAAAAACAGCTTACCTTACTTAAAATGTGTGTTACGTCTCTCCTGTGTGGTCCACGGGCCGATTTATGGCCGTTTTATGGGTTTTGATGTAAACGGTTTTCTCTCTTTATACCGACTTGGTAAACCTTTATGTAGAAATTCCGGGGAGGTAGCGAAAAAAAAAGAGTCTCCAGATTTTGGATCTCCAGAGGTTGGCATCTCTGACGGGGGGTGGGGTACTCACTATACGGGGAGGCTCCGCCCGAAAGGGGTACCTTTTTCAAGCTTCAGGTATATGAAAGGGTAGGAATTTCACGAGTTGCAGTATATGGAAGAGAGGGAAATCTGTCGTTTGGGTCAGTAAAAGGGCCCAAAAGGGCTAACAGATGAATTTTATGGCTTTCAAAAGTCGAGAAAAAATACAATTTTTGTGTCCTTAGAGCAGGGTTCGACTGTGTACAGGCTAGGTTTATAACCATCTTAACTTGTCGTCGATTTGTTAATAAATAAGGACTTGGTGGGGTCTAGAGGGCGCTAAAATAATTGAGAGAAACGAGTTCCCAGACTATGACAAGAGACAACTTAAAAAAGGTGCAACCGATTAATTCCAAGGTATACAGGTAAGCGAATCAACAGGGCTTCCCCCGCAGAATCAACGGGTTCGCTTATGTTGTCTGATTTGGTAAATACAAATACTTTTTATGCATACATAATATTTGTACACTAAATGTTTGTACACTAAATATTTGTACATAAAATCTTTATAAATAGTACTTTGACAATAGTTAGATTACAGGGGCTATAATGGGTATACTACAGGAGAAATAGGTACCAAAAGCAACCTTGATTTAACAGTATTTGGATCAGCGTTTCCGGGAAACTGCTCACCTACCCCTTCCCTAAATCAACATTTTTGCCCTAAACGAGAAGTAAGTGTTAATGTTGGCTTAGGGGTGGGGTAGGTGGGCAGTTTCCCAGAAAACCTAAATAGATCCGTATTTGAACGGAGTTTCCGAACAGTGAATGGAAGCTAAGGTCTTGTATGTACAGGAGGTTGCAGCTTATCTGTACACGAAATGTACACCGCTATTAAATGCACGGTTTATTAGCAAGTGAGTTTGACTGTCTATTATTGAGATACACCCTCTCTCGCAATCAATTTTTATTGCCCGAGATGTTACAAATTTTATATGGAAGAATATAAATATACAAAGGTACAAAATAAATACGAAAGAGTTTCAAGATTTGGTAACCGTTTATTACAAATATCTGAGGTTAAAAAAATCGTTTTTGGAAAAAGTATTTTGTTCGCCATGTACTTAAGATTCTGAAAAGCATAATCATAGTAAATGATCAACGACTTCCAGTTACCCTAGATCGGTAATCAGAAACGTCAGGAGTAAAGAAAATAGTTACTTAGGATGTAGAAAAGTTTACGTACGCTTAGAGCTATAATTGAAATGGTACGAATAGGGGTGAGGTGGGGGTTAAGAGGGGTCTGGTCTAGGCTTACACAAAGTAGTAGTGTGATGCAATAAAAAATACAGTTTACCTCCGAGCATTTAACTAAGTGAGGTAGCTCGGGCGTTTGAAAACTAACCTGAGCTTCGAGCAGAACCTTTCTGTGAAGCTCTGAGTGGTGCTAACTTTGGAAAATTCTTGAGTGCACCCAATTATGGCAGCCACACGGAAGCAGAGCAAAGAATTGCTGTGTCTTTTTAATTCCGGGAGGTTATCAGTTTTGAACTTAGTCACTTTTACCAGGTAGAGTAACTGATTAACTCTTTTTCAAGACAGTTAAAAGGTTTAAGTTGCTTGTAAATTTAGCTTCAATCTGTCACTTCAATCTTCAATTTCCTGACGTACTTATATAAGATTTTCTCGACTAGCTAAGTAAAAGAGAGATTTAACCACACACTTCATATGCCATCATTAACGTACTAATCAAGTAAATTAAACAATAACTCTTCGCATTCTATGGACTACTGGGATTAACAAACTGCCTACACATCATTTGCAGTGCTTTATTACGATTGCGCGGGTATTATGAAAAAATATTGCTTCTTGCATCCGGTAAGTCACAGTCGGATCCTCTGTCAACTAAACCTTGCCATCTTGGCTGGATGTTCTGAAAAGGAAACAGGGTATCATGCATTAGAAGATGACATGCGCAACGATTTATATTTTGCTACTATCAAGGGTCGGAATAGCCAGCAAACAGCAGACGCATTTCCGGTCGTCGCTTAAAAAAAAGCGAGGACCGGAAATGCGTATGCTGTTCGCAGGCTAGGGTCGGATAATCCTTTGTATTCTAATGGATCGTAGCTAGGAAGTATATGTTGTCAACCCGATCCAAAATATACCTTTCTGAGCAGAAGTTGTGTCCTCAACATTAGGGAGCAGCTTAGGCAAGGGAGTTGTTGGGCGATGCACGTCAACCGGAAGTGATGCCTTTATCCCTTCTAATATGCCTAGTCGCTATGAAATTTGTTTTGCTTAGTGTCGTTAATCATATGATGACGGACTGTCCGAAAGTTTAATCAAAAGCACTGCTCAAGTGTCCACTTCCGGTTGACGTGAGGCCCTCAAAAACGCCTTTGTTTTTAAACAAAGGCGTTTAACTTAAAAGTTCCCTATTCATATCCCGAGCGCAGGCTGCGAACAAGTTCTCTCAAATCTCCCTCGGTGGCGGATCCAAAGGAGAGACCCGGGCAACCCCCATATTTTTAGACCAAACTGAGGCCAGAAGGACCGAAAAAATTTTTTCGAGACCGGGCCTACCATTATCTAAGGGTCTGGATGACCGCTCCCGGCCAATACAACCCCCTCCCACCCCCCCCCCGCGCCCACCCCTGAAAACCTGGCCAGGGGCCCTTCCACTCACCCCGTCCATATGCGTCGTCTTACACAATCTCACCCATCCCGTTCCTCCAACTAAAAGTCTCTCCAACTCCCCCGCTGGGGGGGGCCCAAAGGGGAGACCGGGGCCACCCCCTTTTTTTTAAACCAAACGGGGGAGCAGAAGGCGAAAAAATTTTTTTCTGGCCCGGGCCTCCCCTTATTTAGGGGTTGGGTTGTCCCCCCCCCCCCCCCCCCCCCCCCCCCCCCCCCCGCTTATCTCAAGGTCTGGATCCGGTACTGTTCCATTCCCTCCACTAAACGACCTAGGGTCGGCTTTCTTCACCTCCCCCTTCCCAGGAGAGTTCTTAAGCTGAAAACAATGAGCCGGCTGCGATACCCTAGTTTCGAAATCCACTCTTACCGCTGAATAAAGGCACTTAAGACGAAATTTTACAGGGTTAGACTTGGTATACCATCTGAAGGGAAAATATTCTGCCGTAACTTCTATCGAGGAGAAGCCCTGTTTACAGACAACCTCCTGCTGGTATTCATGAACATACCAGGGAGCTTAAGCGAAGGCGCTTTTTTTAAGCGACGCATGCCCTAACTGGAAGCTAGCCCTTTACCCTTTTAATTTGTGCTGCTCAGTGTCTTTACTTTAATTAATAAGTCCTGCACTTTTAGTCGCGGCTTCGCCGCAAAGAATGTACCCCGGGCACTACAATCCCGCCTGCTATGCAGGCTATAAAATCTGGGCAAGAGCACTGTCCAAGAATGCAAAACATCCACTTCCGGTTGACGTGAGGGGCCTAAAAACCTCTTTGTTTCAAGCTCTCTATTAAGTCAAGACAAACCTTGTATCAATACGTTATTAACTATTCAGAGTGAGGAACTGTGGGGTCGTTTTAGGCAAAGGAAAGAAAAAATGGCATCGAGAACAGCATGGACCGGAGTTTTTTTGACGCAGCATTGCTTAAGGTATAATCTAAATTTGCGAGGTTCCATCACGGCAGATCGCTGCTGTCGTTCCCCAAGGCCGTGGGTCGCTCGTTACAATCCCACTACATCTCTTGTTGGTTATGAAATAACTAAAGACGGTGTTAAGAGGGTTTTAATTATGCAAAGGGCTCTCACCTTCACTTGGAAAACCTGGATACTGGCCGTTCCTCATGTGACTTGCGTACGCAGCGTTAAACAGCTGCTGCTGACGTAACATACCACCATAACCCATCATACGGTCCTGCCCCCCTGCCATCATAGCGTCCATTGAGGACGCCATCTGTTGTCTCCGCTGCTGTTCAAGAAAATACATCTGTTCTCTAGACAGAGACTCCCGGGATCCTGGGAGTCCCCCGGGATACCGGTATTGCATGGAATTCAGGTCCACAAATTGCGAATTCGCTCCCGGTGGCATATCTGAGGGGTCCACGTTTCTTTGGTGTGAAGCTGAAGATATGTTTGGTCGATATTGAAGAGCAGGCGGTATCATTTCTGAAGGATGTTTGTTGCCGTACATATAAGCACTCATGTCACCTGCGCGAGAACCCGCTTCAAACCTCTCGCGTTTCTCTTCAGCGCTGTGCAGTAAATTGCCCATTAACATGTTTTCTCGCATCCTCGCTCGATTCGCCGCATCTAAACTTAAATACTGGGCCCTGCGATCAACCGGATTCCCTTGGGATGGGTTCATTCCCCTTAACATGGACGTAAAAGGCAGGCGATTATTCTTATCAGGAGGTGGTTTCTCGCCGCCCATTCCAGGCAAGGATGGTGGCCCCGCATCGTTAAGTTCTTGAAGGAAGCCGCCTGGAGTGATAGAAGACGAATCAAACTGTAGCTCAGGCCAGCCTTTGTACGGTACCCCCACCCCCCTCGGGCTTCCTTCCTTCAGATGTTTGTTCATGTCACCTGACATCCGCTGACCAACAGCGTCTGTTTTAGCAGGCTCTAAATGCCCGTTTTCAGATACACTCTTCACTGTTCTATCTTGCATTGGCTGCTCTTCCTCACTGTCGTTCGCCTCGCGTATCGGTCTCAGTTCCGGCATTTTCTTGTAGAAACCTAAATCAGAAGCCGTACTGTGAGGGGTTTTCTTAATAACGCTCTCCGCGGCATTTCCTAAATGTTTTCTATCGTTAAATTTCATCCCCACATTATGTTCATAAGACTCTTGCCGACGAGGGTCCCCATATGGACCAGGTCTGTCTAAGGCCTCATTAGGTGCCATTCTATAAGGGGATCGTCCGTGCGGGTTCTCGTAAGAGGCCCTTCCTGTAATGTTCTCAAATGGTCCTTTACCAGAAGCCATATTAAATTGCTCGTTTGATGGAGTGAGCCTATCCCTGCTGTCTGGTGACCTCATGCCTTGGCGCGCGGAAGCATGAGGCATAGGGTGTGCACCTTGCGGAGTTGGGGTTCCCTGTGGAGCACCCTGAGCAGAGCTGTCCTGCGCTGTAGCACTTTCTTTGCGATGATGGTCATCCCTTGAAGCACCGCTTAATATGTGGCTAATAGAAAGCGTGGCTGGAACTTTATTCCTCTGCTGCTGTTGTTGTTGCTGCATTCCTTCAACGCTCAGTTCGTCCCTTTCATTAGGTCGGCTTTCTTTAGGTTCACCTTGCTGTTCTTCTTCTTCGCCGCTATCTGAACTTTCACTTGCTTGTTTGCTGCCTGTGGGACGCAACGCTGCGTCTCTTGTTGGTTCAGAGGGATCTCTCGCTTTACCTTTAAATAAAATGAAAAGTAGTTAAGCGGTTTACCTGAACATCATTTACTGCTTCAAAATCGCTAGCACGAGAAAATAGCAGACATTTCGCGACGCTATCAAGGTTTCCCCGCGAAATGACGTCTGAACAAAGAGCGCAGAAATTCCATACTGATGGTGTGCCACTACTGAGATCTGGGAAGTGATTCTGATTGATCAAACATTTTTCTTTGACCAATCAGGAGCACTATCCAGATCTGGGTATTAACGAGTCAACAGTATGGAATATCTCCGATCCTTCCTCAGACGTCATTTCGCGGGGAAACCTTTGGTGGCGTCGCGAAATGTCTGCTGTTTTCTCAAGCTACAAAATGGCAGGAACCCTTCATTTGTTCTATAGGCCTTCAACATTATTTTACGCAAATCACTTGCGCTCAAAATGAACAGAACGGTTGTTTACAGGAGGTTCGATTGCAAAAAATAATTTTTAAAGAAAGATACTGTAATTATTTGAACGGCCAACATACTTGGTTTCAACGTTTATCAGTCCTTACTCAAATGTTAAAGGTACGTTAACATAATACTGTATGTCAAATCATTGAAATCTGGCCTCAGCATCTCTGATTTCTAAGTTCGTATTGACAAAACTTCACTACTTGATTGTTCACACCTTGTTGGCAGCAATTAAAACTAGTAATGGACTGAAAATTAACGAACAGAAATAGCCAATAGAATGAAAAATCATGAACTCGGACTTGCGTTATTAGCCGATTTGTCACATCGGGCATTGCTGTATTAAGAGGCCGTAAACTTCAGTTTTTAGACAAACATAGGGTAGTCCTGAATTACTTTGATTCAAAACGACGTTAATTAACAGTACCTTCTTCTCTAAGGGGCGACTCTGTTGATGGTACTCTCTGAGGAGCAGCTTCAGGGGTCCGTCGGTCTATGCGCCAAGGTTCTCTCCCAGGTACCACGGGTTGCCCATACGGTGCAACACCAGGTGCCCCATAAGGCATGGGACCATTACGTGGGTACCCAAGGAGCGCCTGATTAAAGGACTGAGGTCGGTAATAAGGTGGTCCTCCATGGGGCTGTTGGGGCTGGCGTCCTCTTTCTGTACCTCCAGTTACCGAGGAAGGTGTTGGCTCTCCTGGAAATACAATCATCCACACGGGGGTGAATCAACAAACGTACATAGGGTGCGAGTAAACAGCACTGGTTACACGCATTTTGTTAATTAAAATTGCGCCATGGTTCGTACTTGAGTTTTCAATGACCCTCGTAAACGCGGCCAAAGGTTATGTTATGTTATGTTATGTTTACCAAACCTTAATAATTTTTCCCCATATGATATGATTCATCATGACACTTGAGGGTGTCCATAGACCTTTTTGTTTTCATCTACCCACCTCCACCCCTTTGCGCTAACGGTCGATAAATTCCTAGCCCTTTTCTCTAGAGAGAAAACGGAATGTCTGTAAACAAGCCAAGGGAACTGACAACTCCAAGCAAATGACAACAGTCAGCCAATATAAACACAGTAAGAGGAGTGTTAGAAACACTTTTTTATTTCATACGATAGTCATTGTACAGTACATGTATACCATTTGTTTTTCTTTTGTTTCTGGGTTTCGTAATGCATGCTAATGAGGTTGAAACAAAGGAAAAATATAAATTACCTAAGATCAAAAAATAGCTACAACAGACATACCTGATGTAGACACTGCTGGGACAGCCTGCTGTGGGGATGCTTGCCTTGCTTGTTCCGTCTGATTAGGGCTATTCATGTCATTCTCTCTACGTGCAAGCTCCATATTTCCACCTGCACCCGGCATTCTGTAAGGAAATGGCATCCTTCCAGCCATGTGCTGTGGTGGATAAGGAGACGCCTGGGGTGGCTGACCCATCTGGCTCACAGGATTCCCTTGAGGGTATCTAAACCTATTAAACTGGGGTCCTGGTTGTGACATACCGTATCTCCCAAATGCAGCTGGGTTGAATGCGTTCTGATAAAACTGTGGTGGGTATAGGGGCCTTCCATCTGGGGCAAAGTGTGGGGGCCCTGGAAATGGCATTCTTGAAGGATGATGGGAAGGCATCATACCCCCATTAGCCATGTTGTTAGGTAACATGCGATTTTGAAACATTGGCTGCATGCCAGGTGGCCCCATCTGCTTTGCAAAGGGGCTTTCATTGGTTTGCGGTGCATTACGAAACATCTCTGGCCCAGAACCTGCCTCACCACGCCTTCTCTTCTCTTTTCTGCTCTTCCTCGCAAGTTCTTCTTCGAAATCCTCATCACTGTTGTCATCATCTTCAGGAAAGTGTTTCTTTAGTTGCCGGTTGAAAGCAGCTTCCAGACTGTTGGCCATTTTTGTGTACACTAAATAAAAATGGGGTAGATAGTTAGTTCCCAATTAATGATGACATGAAGTACAGTCAAACCCCGCCTACTACGGACACCTCATTATTATGGACAGTTTACTTTGTCCCTGGGGAAAGAAAGTCCTGACTTTCTTTTCTAAATTAACCCGTAAAACAAAGGCACAGCTTAGTTTTTTTAAAATAATCCACTTCAAGGTATCCTGATATCAGATTAAAATCTTCATCCAATGTCAGATGGCAAATAATAATATTGCGACAAATGTGTGTGACAATGAAATTTAGCTTGACATACATTTGTCACATTCATCTCTTTCACGGGAACATACAAACACATAATTGCCCAGCTCCCAACATCCATAGCTTCATAGCTTACTTAGGTGGTTAGAGCATCGCACGAATGAGGTCACGAATTCAAATCCCATTGAAGTCCTGAATTTTTTCAGGCTTCTTACACAATTGCATAAATTGAGTTCACAACTGTGAAGGCCATTCTTCACTTGATTCTTCATTTGAAACAATAATATTCTTGAAGAAATCCAAAGCCAAAATGTCAATGTGAAACATTCTCTGGTCTTCAGGATACCATATCCAAACCTCCTTCGCAGTAGTAATTTTCATCATATTTCTCTTCATAAATTAATTTTTAACAAATTTGAAATTGTGAATTTACATTGCCAAAACTGCACTTGCATCAAAAATTATGAGGACATGAAAATCCACTTACTGCTATCAGAACCATTGTACTCCAGACAGTTTTCAAACATTAACTTCATATCTGCAGTAAACTGTAATGAAACAGAACTCACCAGTGATTAACACAATTGAAAATATTAGCTAAAGAAATTCTTTTGTGAATCAAAAAAGCTAATAAAACTGGACGAATCCCAACTGCCGAGAACTCTTTAATTACCCACCCAATGCATGAAAGGTTGACCACACCCTTGTGTGGCACTGGCAGCTGAACTATCAAAGCCTAAAGCACAGCATCTTTCACTACACCATCATAATTATTCAATAATTCAGCTTTGTCCATTGGGCAGAATTCAGAAACTTAAGGTCGGTTAAAATGCACAGAGACTCTTCCCATGAGTAAATAACTAAGCCCTTAAAAATGTCAAGGTACAATGTAAAATTAGGTTAGCACTAAATAAGCCCGTGTGGTATACAGAATGCACAATTCACACAATAAATAAAAGATAATTAGCACTACTCACATCGTTTATGCTTTTGTATTTACTATCATCAAGTTTCTGCTCAATGGTAGACAAATCCATGGGTTCCTGGCAAAAAAAATTAAAAGTGAATACAGCTGACTCTCTATAACATGGACACCTTTGGGACCTGCACTAAATGTCCATCTAAGTGTAATGTCCATCTTACAGAGAGTCAAATAAAGGAAGTAAAGAAAGGCAGGGACCAACTCTAGGTATCTGTTTTATGGAGGTGCCTGTTAAGAGTCGGCTGTAATAACACATAGGTTACAAAAAAATATATTCATCAGTGCAAGGGTGTTTTGATGGAACATCAAATTTTCAGGTACAGCTGTACTGGCAATACTGAAAAATTGTCTGAAACAGTACGGACAGTACATATTTAAAGCTTAAACAATGTACCTCAATAATTTCATAATACTGAGGTGCATAAGATTCTTCAACAGGCTCCAGGAAAGGCCAAGCATTGTTATGCTTCTTCAGGGCATCCAACACTAGGAAGTCAAGAAAGACGATTATGGTTACATGCATCTCAGTATTTTACATCACACAGCTCTTACTACTGTACCCTAAAAATCAGGTTGAAGCCCTATTATTCTGCAAGCAGAGTCTCCTGTCTTCTTCTTTATTGAAAAGGAGAAAAAGAGGCGTCGTATGCATTGTATCAACCCTTTGAAGTAGCTGCAGCTAGTTAGTCTTGTTTCCTCTCGAAAACTGCGTTTTTGTATGAGCATCAGTTTATTGATAAACTGATGTTCATAACAGAACCCAGTGTACCAAGTGCACGGATATAAGGCCTAGGCTTGAATTTTCATCTTAGCAACATGCTAGGATAGGCATGCTCAACAAAGATCTTACTCAATTCAAGCAGAGTCTTTCTCAAGTACACCAAAATCAAGTAATTATTTTAAAGAAAGGCTCTACTTGCAGGGTGTGGCTCTATCTACCTGATGACAACAATACTTCTAACTGTATTCTAGTTAGTCCTTTACCCCTAGACCTAAGGGGAGCAAGGGTGGCACAGTGGTGAAGGCACGTGCCTTCCACCAATGTACCAATAAGCCCCGGGGTTCGAATCCTAGCATTGAAGCCTGGGTTAAGTTTAATGTTGGTTCTCTCTTGTTGCAAGAAGTTTTTCTCTGGGTACTCCTGTTTTCCCCTCTCCTTAAAAACTAACACTTCCAAATTCCAATTTGAACTGGAATGCATGGACACATTTAAATGAGTTCATAAGAACTCCTAATTGCTTCGTGGGTACAATTTTACAATTTTTACCAAGGTTTTTCTTTGTCACCTCACAATCATACACGTGTCAGTGATTCTTTAATCCTTCTATTTTTGCTTCCCTGAAAAATGTTGAGGGTGAAAACCCCCATTACCACTTTGGAATGTCCACTACCACACCTGTGGAGAGATAGAGGGGTGGAGCATTGCTACCTAGGGCATTTGCATCAGGTCATTTATGTCAGCATGTAAGCTTCTTTTAACAGATCTGATACCTTTATACATCCCAGTGTAAAGGTCTTCATCTCTATCCTCAAGGTCAATGTCTTCTCCGACTTCTCTAGTTCGTGAGCTGGGTCTCTTTTCCACTTCACTTTCCTTGCTTTCTTCTTCTTGACCAAAACTATTTTTCAGTTCCTCAGGATGAAATTCACCACTAGCCATGAGCCACTGCCTTTCTTCCCGCATACGTGCTCGTTTGGCTCTCTCTGCAAACAAAGTTAATCTTTTGAGTTGAATGCCTGTCTTTACATACACGTATCTACTGTGTGCAGGGCATCAGAATTCAGCGTGCAAAGAAAGTCGTGTCTGATAGCCCTTGGCTAGTAGATTTTGTTATCGAGCTAGTGAATTCTGTTCTTACGTAACTTACCTAATGGGCAAGTGGAGTTTTTTAGGGAATTCAAATTAAAGAAGAACTGCTGTCTATCCAGCTCATCAAAATTTTTTTAGGGCTAGAGAAAAGATTTAATTAAGACTGTGGCGATAGATTAGATCGGAAGGAGAAGAAAACTTTTCACGTGGCTTACAGGGTGTAGCTGCATGTGGTGTTAGGTATGGCTGGGGTTTGCTCTCTACCCCGTGGAAATTTTTTATTTTAGGGACTATGAAAAGTGCATAATACATTGTGGGCACAAAACACTGTGAAGCGCACAAGTGACAAATAAAGGCCCACGTTTCTTTGCCTTCTTATCCCTAATCATTCATGAATAAGATAAGACATACAAAGCAGGAATGGTTTCCTTTTTAATGTGTTTCCATCATAAGATGCTTTCCAAGGGCTGAAATGCAGAGCTTCAGAATGGAATATAAATACAGTGATTTCACAAAGTGTTGCTAGATGTAGCACAGTTTAGCGTATCATAATATCGTGGTACTATCTTAATCAAGTATAGATATTCATATCGTGAGAAGAAATACTGCAGTTCACCAACGCATCCGAGCATCACTTCAGCCCTACAGCACCCCTTATTTTACTGTTGTCACACAACACCTGTCACACCATGGGTATTAAGGAGGAAAGCCATGAGTAACCTCGAGAGACCTACAGTGTATGGTCCCAGCTCCCAAGCATGAACTGCCAAAGGCAAAGTCAAGAAAAACAACCACAAGGAACAAAAAAGCAATAAGCATTGCACATACTCAAAATGGAATTATTGAGACTTGTCCCACTCTCCCAGTTAATTGAATATGATTCATTAAAAAATAATAATCTACTTTTATCATTAACTTAAAATCGTTATCAACATCATTATCTAACCTTGTTGCCTTCTCTCTTGCTGCTGTTGTTTTTCTCGTTGTCTCTCTTCCTCTTCTCTCTTCCTCTCCTCTGCTAGTCGCTCTCTTTCTCGTTGTCTCTCATTCTCCTCTTGTTGTTCTTCTTCCTCCCTTACCTGCACTTTTGATGCTATTCTATCAGAAGCCCTTCTTGGTGCCATCTCCATTAGAAGTTTTTTCCTCATGGCTTTATCCTTTATTACAGAGAATTGGTAAAAGGATTTCACTAATAGCACACCTTTGATATATTAAAATTCTAACATGACTCCATAGCTTCCTGGTAATTTTTCTATATTTAGTTTGGTTTTCTTTGTGCTCAAGTCTCTTCCGGGAATTGCNTTCCTCATGGCTTTATCCTTTATTACAGAGAATTGGTAAAAGGATTTCACTAATAGCACACCTTTGATATATTAAAATTCTAACATGACTCCATAGCTTCCTGGTAATTTTTCTATATTTAGTTTGGTTTTCTTTGTGCTCAAGTCTCTTCCGGGAATTGCCAGAGAATAGCGTTGTGAAAAATTTGCAATTTTGATCCTAAAGCCTTGGAGTCATGTTAGAATTTTAATATATCTAAAGTAGGCTATTTCTTTCAAAATAATTTCCTCTACCTTGCTTTCTCATATATGTGTATTAAGTTAAAAAAAACCACCAATCCTCAAGTAAATTTCACCGACTTTTAAACATCCCATTGAAGAGCTTTTAAGGTAGATATTTGTTATTTATCTCTCCAAGCTGATATATTATTATAATCTGCAATGCACATACAGTCTGTACCTTTGATGAGAAGATAAGACGTGTCATTGCTACATGTAATCAATCTTTCCTTACCAAGAAGCAACATAATGCAAGCAACTGTACCTTTGCCTCAATCATTTTGCCAATCTCTGGAACAAAATCAACACTGAGTGTCTCGTAAAGCATCTTCTCATCTTTGTGTTTACTCTTCTTGAATGACTCAGCAAGCTGCTGCCACTCTTCCTCAGTGGAACACACAACAGTCCAGAGTGGGCAGCCCTGTTTTTGCTGCTCTTCTTTTCCCTCAGAAGCTACCTCTTGATCCTCATCATTTTCATCTTCATCATCAGCATAATCACTGCTGGGATGCTCACTGCTTGGACTAAGAATGCCAGTCATTACGTTAACCAGTTGTTTTAAATCAAGCTCAAGTCAAATGTTCTCAGAGTACTGTAGTTTCTAACATGCAAATAAGCTCCCCATTTTGTGGATATTGTGAAACACCAAGTGGCAAGCAAGTGGCACGCATATTTGGGGATGCGAGAGCCCCTTGCACTTTGACCCTCACTTGCACATTCTTTAATGACTTGAATTGCTTACCACCTTAAATGGAGAGCTTGCTCGCCATGTAGTTTCAAATTTCCTTTATTTTGATTTTGATCAATACATTAACACAGTCAGTGTAAGAGGTCACTCATAGGGAATGGCCAACCGAATTAGTATAAGTAATAGCATGATTTGTAGTGATATTTGGCATAAATACCACGAGTGACATTTCAAATTGTTATACGCAATTGAATGAGCTATTAGGCGAGTGAAATTTGCGACAATTTTGAAATATCATGAGTGGCATTTACGCCTTGAATATCACACACAAATCATGCTATTATTTGTTTATACTACTACCCCCAGGGTAATGGTTTGGGTAGTTTAATAAAGGTTACTGTGAAAGTAAATGAAGAAAAGGGGATGGTGACAAGAAGAAGTATCCACCACAATACAAATTTATAACCTTAAGGGGTTTTCTACCTCTCAGAAAGAAACAAAGACAGTAATTAGCCTGAGAAAAACAGCCAACATTTGGCGACACTACCACTGATTTCCCCGCCGAATGATGTCTGAGAAACGAGCACAGAATTTCCATACTGATGACGTGTCACTACCCAAATCTGGGTGGTGCTTTTGATTGGTTGAATCAAATTTCCCATGCGGCACGACCAATCAGATGCACTACCCAGATCTGGGTAGTGACACGTTATCAGTATGGAATTGCTGCGCTCGTTTCTCAGAAGTCATTTGGCTGGGAAACCAGTGGTAGCATCACCAAATGTCGGCTGTTTTCTCAGGCTAAGCCATAATCTAACCCTGGTTAGTAACATCTGTGAAGCAGTGCCGAGATCCTTGCTCTGGGCCCCCAACAAACTCAACGAATTACTGGAAATGGGTTTCCAATTCTCTTCAACCTGATTGGCAAATCAACAATGTCTTTTTTAATGGGCCAATCATGGTGTGTAGTCAAATCCTGATACACAGGTAGGTGTCCAGATCAAGGATCTCGGCACTATTTTGCAGACAGACTTAGCTGCAGGTTTAGTTTTGTCAGTGGCACAGGCTAACTGTTACGGGCCATGTTAACTTACTGCAATGATAAGATACCTCTTAACAAACCATGAAGCAAATTAAACAATTAAAATTTGGGCCCGGGGAAAGGTCACCATGACTGTGTAAAGGAAAAAATACATAAAAATTTTAGGTTGTACTGTATGACTTTGACCTAAAATTCACTGAAAACATTTCTTAGCAAGTAAAGTTTGAATGTTAACCTTGATTCAGATTCTTCCTCAGAGTCAGATGAAGATCCCTTGGCTTTCTTCTTCTTTTTGAGTTTAGCTTTCTTTTTCTTAGCTTTACCCTCCACCTTTTTCTTCTTTTTGGACTTCTTGTTGGACTTGTTTTCTGACTGTGGTGGTTTTTCTTCTCGATATAATCGTGTACCGTAGAAATACCAGAAGGTTCTTCCTTCGGCGTCAAATCCCAAAGGTTCTACACGTAAGCTGTCAGCATCCAGACCCTATTGGACATCAAGCAACACCGCAAGTTCTATGTTGATGTTATTAATATGTATGTAACTGCTAGAATCTGAAATGATTCCTACAAAAAACATTGATTAAATATCAAGCAAATTCATCTTGTGTGATCATGTCCCTTATTCTCATGACCACTCTGTTTTACAAAGCATTGACATTGCAAGGAGAAATTTGATGCTGATCACTCTTAGGGCTTAAAGGGTTAAATGACAGGTCAAAGGCAAAGCAATTCTTATTGTAATAGGAGTCATGCGGTTAAGATTGAGGGCATGAGCACCCAAATGAAGACACCTATGGAAAAATGTTCTATATTTTTTCTCTTTGTTCCTTTGGGTTGTTATTTTGGAAGAGTAAAATTTTATCAACTTTCTTGTCATGAGAAAAAAGACTACCAACCTTCAGTTAGTTTCATTAAATTAATACAAATCTGTATGCAAAGTGACTTTTATGTATAGCAGCCAGAAAAGAGAATTACTAATCAGACCGAAGAGTTAAAGGGTCATGGTGATACAAGTAAATTAACTGCTAATCTATCATGTTATGCTTGGAATGTAAAAAATTATTGTATTAATTGCTGGATATCATCATGCAATGAACAGTTATATAATATAAATCGGTGCAAGGTCAGAGTTAAACAGCCATACAAGTATGCAATTTTCTTTAATACTTCAATACCTTGAGTAGCTCAGGAACATCTTCAACATCAAGTCGAAAGTCACACAGATTATGTAGGATCTCAACTTTTTCTCTGGTGGAGAGTTTGCTAAGTGGGAAAAATCAAACAATACTATATTTGAAATTTGCTGAAAATCAATATAAATGAGAAAGAATTAATAAACGAAGCATTTTAATGACTCTGATACAGTGTAAATAATCATCAACGCTTAAAACAGAAAAGATAATCTTGCAAATTTTTCCTCAGTAATTAAATTACGACAGTGCTGCATTCTGATAACATTATAGTTAACCAAACTTTATGCCAATAATTTCAAGTTTAATCCTGAAATCTCAGGAGGGCCGATTTAAGTGTTTTCAAGGACCATATATGATAGTTAAGCAAATACAGTTGACATCTTTGCATGAAACTGTTAACAATGAACTTTTATAAGAGTAGAGATGGTTGAAGAAAATTTATGTCAAAATTGGGAATGGCTGGGCAAAGAAGTTTTTATCACAAAACAATGGCTACTGTTTTTGTCGTATTCCTTTCACTTATTGCAGAGATAATTATTAAGGAATCTAATTTCACTCTATTTTTAAGTTTGGAGTCAAAAGCTTATGTATTGACCATTCACTTAAAACCTCAACAGTACTTCTACAAGGTACGATCGGTTTCTTGTATTTTGCAGAAATCAAATTTGGATTTTTCTGAAACAATTTGCGGTTTTGGACCACTCTGAGGTGAGGTTAAGCTTGTCAGATTTATTAAGTCCCTGTCAATGAGGTTAAATATCTTGACATCAGAGTGTTTGAACAAGTCAGAAATCTTTGTACAAGTGACAGAATTCCCAGATCAGATTTGATATTGCAATTTACTGGGAACAATAATGTCAAATCAAAAACACCAGCTAGGGATTTAAATGAAAAACCCTTCCCCTTGGACTAATATTTTTACAACTTATATGCAAAAACATGTTTGAAAGCCCTTTGTGTCATCTTTGAAAACAATATATCTGAAAACACACCAGGTTTGGTCTTTGCAAGCTAAAATCTTTCACTTTTTTTGTTTTTATAACGTCTATCGCATAGGAAACTACTGACCACAGGAAAAAAAATCGAAAAATACAACTTGTTACAAGCGAGTTACATAATTAAAAATGTCAGCGTAAGTGAATGAAATAATTGCTACCGATACCTTCCAGAAAATAGAAAGAGTTCAGAAAACCAAACTGTGAAATATGAATTTCTGGGTAGATTTCACCACGACAAACGTAAATCGTACTTGGAAATGAAATTCTACCTGTCTAGTCACATTTCACTGCCAAGAAACAATACTTCGTTGTCCGGCCACATGCGCCAATGCAGATCAACAATGAAAGGATATCGAAACCAAGCTGACAAAAAGCACTGCTACTTTAACAGCACTGCATTGTACCTGTATTCCTGATCAGCAAGCGGATTTTTCCTCCCTAACTCATCTTCCCAGCGTATTTTCAAGACTTGTGAGAGATACGGCTCAAAATTCTCAGCCCTGAAATAAACATGGAAATTGTCACGAGCCAATGAAATATACAACGAAACAAGAATAACTATAACAACAAAACTAGACAGGATTTTCACTTAGCAGTGCTAGCCAAACAATAATTCCCCCCTTCCACGAGTCTCTAAATATGACAGAATCCACTACACACCGAGGAACGTTTAGTTGGCATAAATTTACGACAGGATATAGCAATTTCACGTGTCAAAATACCAAGTCACAAGTTTCGGTAGTTTTCTATTAGCCGACTAAACGGTCGAAAGCGTGAAATTGTTACACCCCAAAGGGCTTTTTTTTTTGTAGATCTTCGATTGCAAAATTTATTTCAGCGCCACGTTTCCTTTCGAAAGGAAATGATGGAGGAAGCGTCCAACATCGATAAGTATTCTACGATCGATCAAGACGCGATTCGAACCTCAACGTTACAAATCGATCCTCGGCGTGAATCGAAGAGGAGCAAAATATTTTTTGAAACACGCTATTAAGACTTAACAACACAAACATATTTTTCAAGATTCCACGACAAATAATGCAAGCCACGGTTTTTATGGTCGTAATAAAAGTGTACAACAATGAAAAGAGAATTAATCGAACTTGTCTGAATGTCAACATGGACAACCTAGAATTGTGCTTAGCAAGGTTTTTGACCAAAGACTTAATTTGAAAACTAGCGAAAATAACATGGGAGCAATATTTGCACAACTCCGTGTTCGCTATAATTTTATTTTAGGGCAAACGGCTTACATTATTAGACAATGAGGCGAATTACCATGAGGCGGACTGGTGAGACGAATTTGAAACATTCACGTTTGCACACGAAATAAACTCAAATCTTGTTACATGGCATACACATTATGATCACACAAACAAAACCAATCAATGAATAGTTAAGACATTTTAAAAGAAATTTAAAAAGAATAAACTGCTGTATGAAACAAAATAAAAATAAAACAATACTAAAGTAAAACTGTCTTACGTTATTTCTTTTATGCCATACAATCCCCTCAATAATCTCGCGTGTAGATCGGCCAAAAATCGGTTGTTTCCCTCTTCATTAGAACCATCAATGACAAGTGCATCTTCTAAATCCTTAAGGAAGTGAAACAATGTATTATAAGCTTAAATAAGACCAGAGTAAAAGCGATATATGCCCGTCTAAAACTTTAAATTTACGCTACCCGTTTTCTGGCTCCATAAATTCAAATTTTAAATAAACAATACAGAGAATAACTTGGGCGAAGAAAGGTCAAAGGCTTAGGAAATAAAAAGGACGTAATAACTGAGTCTTTAGAATTAAATTCTCAGGAAGTGATAAGAAAAGAAATACACGACTTGTTCAACTGGTAATAGAAAGATTTTGTTACCTCAATTTCGAAGTCAGTCAGTCCGAAGGCAGCACGGAACAACGAACAGAAATGTGCTATCGATGGTACCTCCCACCAATTTCGGATCTCTGCAAGCCGGAAAAAAATCATAAGAACAATATTTCAACTTTCCAAAGCCACCTCGAAGAGTTGTTAAAGCAGCAGAGAAAATCTATTTACAAGGCCGATCGACAGTACCTTCCATGTCACCCAAAACAGATGGCCGACTTAGTACAATGACGACACAAGATGAAGCCGGCAACATCCGGGCTTTTCCTGTAGAACCACGCCCACAGAGGTCTGGGGCGAGAGGCCATTGTGACAATATCACGAAAAGCGAAAAAATGAAAATGCAGCGAAAACTAATTGTTTTGTTACGTTACAAAAATGTTAAAACCATGCCTCGTGTAAATAATTATTGAAACGAAAAAAAGGGTAATGTTTTTGGCCATTTAGAAATCGCCCGTTACTAACCCGAGCTCCCGAGATATGCTTTCTTTTCTTCCTTCTTTTGCCTTGGAGATGTTCGTCAGATATTTGGCGGATTGTATTTTCCCAGATCCTTCGTTGCACTTCTATTTGTTCCGTACAATCACCCACACCAGTAATTAAAATTCTCGTATCATGCACTTATATCAGCCTATGGGCTCCTGGCACTCATGGTGATTGAACCTTGAGAAACCCCCGGCACACCCAAGGATCTGGAAGGGGAAGGCGGGGGGTTGATTTGTCTTCTTTATTATAATTAGAAATGATAATTTGGATTGTACATATGGAACATATGACATATGGGGATTGGACATATGGAACATTTTAAAGAGTGTTCGTGGCGTACAAAATTAAGGGTGCAATCGAAGAGGCGCCACACGAATGTCTGTGTTCGTTGAAGGAAGAAAGCTACAAGTAAATACCCCTCCCAGTCCTAGCAATAAGGTGGGTAGCATGAAACAAGATTGAAAAACTGTGGCACTCGCAGATCCAAAACAGTTTCAAAATGTACTTGATCCCGGAACTAGTTGAGTCTACACTACTCGTTGGCTCAAAAACTGGACACACTCTGCAAAATACAACAAAAGATTGGATGGAACACACACAAACCTTTCACGCAGAGCACAAAATATCTATTAGTCTGAGCACGCGTGCAGCAGGATGAAGACTATATGGGTAAAACAAAACTCAATGTAGGGCTGGCACTACGGCAAAGGGCTGATTTATTATAGGCCAATATTTCGGCTAACAAGTGTTCGGTGGATTGCAGAATGGGTTGTTTCTTGCGGAGTATGTCATGGATGTTAGGTAGAGCTGGATTTAATATAGGTAACTGTAAAAGGGATTCGGTCACTTGTACCTCTGGTGGCTGGTTTATTCTCTTTTAAGGCTTCATTTCGAGGTACCTGTTTTGCTATATGGATATCTTTTACCGGAGAATCTCTCGCGCAGACGGCTTCAGTTTGCTGGGAGACGGTGATATCATCAATTCTCCTATGGAGCCCTAACTTCTCAGTACCCCCACGGGACTAACGTATCCGCAGCTGTTCTCTCTTGATACTGGAATTGGAGGGAAAGAAATAGAATCTGCCATGCGGGATCTTACAGTGTGGGAGACTTTGAAAAAGCCACAGTGGAGTGAAGCATCATCTTTCACGCCGAAAGCCCATGGTAATGGTGATGACGATGATGATAGTGATGATGATGCAGGGGTTTCATTAGGGGCTGGGCCAGGAGCAAATTGACGGACTGTGAATGCGACTTTGCCCGGCTGCTTAGCGAAGCGAAGCGCGCGGGAGCGGAGCCCCATTGTTAAGAAAATTTAGTTATCTATCCATCAGAGAAATTTTGGTTGTGACGTCAGCGTACGCCCACCCGAACGTACAGACTCTGGGGGAAGGGGAAGGAAGTTCGAAAACACCCCGAATGGGAGGTGGATAAGGTGGAAAAGAGAGAAAGAGCTAGAGCAGGACATAGTTCTTCGCAAGAGGAAAAACATGAAAATTTTATAGCGGCGGTGAGAAAATGAGAAATGCTAGCGGCCACCAAGGTGAAAATAAGCGGCGGTGAAAAAAAATGAACAGGAACACATACAACATTTACTCCATAAAACGTGTAACTAGGAAGTTTCTGGAAGTTTCACCTTTTTTTTTATTGGGAAAGGATTTGAAAAAAGTTGTTTTGACAAGCGGTTTTTCGAACAAAAATGGTACATAACAGATGCCGTACGCGTTATTGTATGACATTGTGCATTGTATGACGTTATTGTATGACATGTATGTTATTGTACGACATTCTAACTGAACCTATGTTGATGGCGCGTTAACTTTGAGCCATTAGTCACATACCATTCCATGTTTGTCATCTATTTACATTCGTAGACTGTTTTTAAACCCTTAATTGTCATGTTTTTTGTACGTATGTAGTGTCTGCTTACGCCGGTTTATTATCCAAGTAATTAAATAAAACAATTCATTGGCTTCAGTTTTAATTCTTACAATTTTACTTCCTATTCTATTCGAGAAACGTTTGTGTTTTAAACCACAATAAATACATTTCGTATATTCATACGTAGCTTATGTTGTTTTTCCTTCTTGTCTTCCCCGCGAGGATCAGTTTGTTTTTTTTCCCTCTATTTTCCTCATCACTGGGAGCACGAGGCCATGCCGTTGTCGTGGTAAATGATCCTTTTTCGTATATTTCGTTTTTTGGAAGTGAAGCGGAATCCATATAATCTGAGATCACAAATCCATTTTTTGATTCTCCCAAAAAAGCACCCTAGACCTATTTTTGTTGTTGTTGTTGTTTACCGTTCTCGTTGTCTTCAACGTTTCTTTATCATTACACGATTTTATGTTTTGTTTGAGCAAACTAGTAATATTAAGGACAGCTTTGCTTTTAGTCCTGGCTAAATCTATATATTAGTGAGGTAATCCCAGACCATGCGGTAAATACAGGATTCCTTGTCAGTGGAACTTGGATTCCGGATCCAACGCCCAGGATCCCGGAGTCCGGATTCCACCATCAAAAAAATCTTGGATTCCGGATTCCAACAGGAAAGGTTTCCAGATTACGGAATCCCGATTACCTTACGTGAGGCGATCTATACTCGAAATACGTGCAGGGCTGTCAACCCCCCCACGTCTTCGAATATTGAGGAAAGGGATGATAGATGACGTCATTTGTGCAGAAAAACGCGCGAAAAAGATGTTGGAATTGTAACATTTGACCTGATTGGTTTACTTCCCACCAATCACATTATTGCTTATATTACAATGGCATACATCGGAGTTTGTGAGGAAACGTTCGACATTAACAGCAAAATAGCTCAAACAACGCATTGTTGGAAAGTAGAACCTACAAGAAATGGGAAACTTCGGCGATTATCTGGGAGACCGGGAGAAAAGGTTCAAAATCTTGAGTCTCCCGGATTATCCGGGAGAGTTGACAGCACTGCAGGTGTCTTTGAGGACCTTCACGAAGCTCGAGGGAAACTGCTAACAGTAGGAAGTAAAGGAAAAAAGCCAAGAAAAAAGGGGAAAAAAGGTGGAAAAGCATCACGTATAGTCATTGACGCTATACACATGGGTAGTGAGGGAAAATAGTACGAAGCGACCAGGTCACCGGTCTTCTGATTCAGAAATATTTTCCCATGCAACACAACACAACACACAGATGACAAATTATCGTGTATAATATGCACACAGAATGACTGTTCTCAGAAGCCTGTTACGGACATGTTACGTCCCTTGGGCCAACTATTTGACGTTTTAGTCAAGGACTCGAGCAACTTGAATACCTAACCCTTTCTCGTTGCACATAAATATACAACCAGTCTTTTCCTAGCGGGGTCTTTTTTAAATACGTGAATTAATGATTACATACTGTGAAAGGGGGCGTTTTGGAGTGGGTGTATATGAAAATCATTTGCGTGTGAAAAAGAGAATGGAACCTGAATGCACGCATAATTATTTCATTTTACGCTACCTCGGTGCCATAAAAAAGTACCTGTCAACTGAAACGTCTACTTTTTTCACATGTGAAAATGTGTCTCTGCATAAAACAAGAAAAAACAAAGGGAAAGGAAGTCGACTCAGTACGAGCGGTTAGAGCGCTGGAATAGGCCCTGACTAATTCAGTCCGAGCCCTTATCGCTACTTAGATTTGTTCTCGGTCAACTCCTTGGTCACCCTTGTAAAATAGACAACAGGGTCTCCACCGGACAGTTAGGATTCATAACCTTGTGGGGAACAATGAAAACTAATGGTTTACCAGTAATTTTGTCACCTAAAGAGAGAATAAACTCATTCTCTCTTGGTTCCGTTATAAAAATCAGTTTTTTTAGTCACAAGGGGTTACCGTAGGGACGTTTTAATATAAGCAAGAGAAGTTGGATGTTCAGATGGATTTAGGGTAAAGGTTCGCACTTGTTTTTGCTTTTAGCATTCAAGGAGTAGCTAAACACCAACAACGTAGTTTTCAAAGAGTGCTTAGCGCAAGCCGAGATGCATTTTATCCCAAAATCTGCCCTTTATATGTTAATTATCATTTCCCATCCAAGGGCTTTTCAGGCACCCTTTAATTCTGAAATTAAATGCTAGGGCTTTTCAAGGACTTCAGGAAGTACGGACCCTGCGGTATGTAACGCATCTAGTTCTCGAAGCAACGACTGTAATAGGAGCGGCCGTAAAGATCTGAAAATAACGACCCTCCTGTACTTTCGAAATTATCAGCCTTTCGCGAGGACGTCACTTTGACGGGGCGGCGGGGGGGGGTTGACAATAAAGTTATTTCCATGAAGTTTTCGAAGTACTCAGGACGCAGAACGTCCCATTATAGAAACCGAAAAACTAGAACTGCCGCCACCAAGTGAATAACATAACATGTAAAATCCCTAGAGAAGTGCGTAAGAATAGCGACAAAACTTGCTTTAAAAAGGATGATGAAAGCCGGTTTTAGTTAAAAGAAACGTTGTTAAATTCCAATTAACTGTCACAGTATTAGTTCGTTTGAAACGAGAACAATTTCATCTTATTGAGGCCGAAATATTGAAGAACGAAATAAGTGCTTGCCCCCATCAAATTAGCATCCCCTCCCCCACCCTCGGATCAGAAAATTAGATATAAGCGCCCCACAGGCGCTAATTCCAGTATTATTAACAGTAACTTGTTAATACTATAAACAAATGTTATTGGACACTTCTGTAGAATGCACTTGTTACTAAAGGCAGTCCATCAAGTCTTTGCAACCTGTTAACCAACAGATGGACAAAATACAGCGCATAGGACAGGGTGGCAAAGGGCGGGGGAGGGGGGTACCTATCACGCGTCACGCCGATTTTTTTCAGTTATCACGTATCACGGAAAAATAGAATAAAATACTAACTACATTAACAAGTATCCTATTATCATTTGATCTGAGGAAATCAGAGGTCGAGAAACAACAAAAAGGGGAAGATGTTGGTGTCATAACCATCTATTTTTAATGCCTCTGCTTCTAGTTTCAAATGATATTAATCATCACGGAAATTTCAAAGGAAAATCGCGCTTCACGCGTTGTGAAAATAGTAAATCACGCATCACACTGTTATGCCCAACCACGCCTCACGCAGCTAACTTGGGCCTGATCACGCATCACACTGATAATTTGGGTATCCCATCACACGTCACGGAAAACCCCTTTGCCACCCTGATAGAACAACGTTGATGGGGACAATCCCTGAACCGTACAAAATACTTGGATATGTGTTGTTATGTACTGTTTAAAAAACGAGCAGGAGTGTATTATCAGATATAAAAACTCGAGGCGACGCCGAAAGTTTTTAATGGACTATTATGCGCTGACGCTCAAAAAAACTTGCCGAAGTTTTAGAAACTATATCTAGTTGAGTAAGAACGTGTTTATAAGTCTAAACCCCAATAAAACCAGATTTTTTAACCTGCATTCCAAATCGGCAGTCTTTATAAGATATAACTTGACACTCATTAAACATTAATTTCTTTTGATTTATATTTATAAATTATTAATGCAGCTAAAATGTGGTTTAACCCACTGGCTCTGAAGTGGACACTCAGATGTAGTACGGAAAATATGTGTCAGGGAAATATCCACACCTAGCCTGCAGAAGGGACTGAAATTGTAATCCCAGAGAGTTGTCCGATAGCGTATTTCTTTTCCTGAGCCATCGGATAAGAACAACATTCTCAAAACTTTAGTATCGTGGACCACACATTAGCTGAGTTTTCACTTTACTTTAATAGGGGGAAATTTTGGAAAATTAGGCTCGGTCGAAAGCATGGAGCAAATTCTTTTTACAGTGTGGGCATGGATATATTCTGTAACACACATTACAACTTGTGGGATCTTTTGCAAGCAGACACGTGTTCTTGTAGTTTTTCAATGTTTTCTGCTCGTTCAAGGATTTAACCAAATGGAAAATGTTTCCACTGAAAGGGCAGGACTTCACCATCCGTTCCAACAGAAGTGCTGTTTCACAGTTTGTGGTATCCTTCAATCAGTAGACATGAACCATTCCATACAAAAATCTTGATCATAAGGTTAATGAAATAACACGAGGAAAAATCATTGAAAGAGTGGACATGGAAAGGACCCAGAATGATGGCAAAAACAGAGGTTTGGCAAGTATCACTAAATACACACATACTCCATGAGGTTACAACCTCCAATCAGCAGTTAGTAATTCGTAAGTGCTATGATAAATATTTTTTAACATTTTAAAATTATTTGGCTAAGTCTGTTTTCGCCTTATGATTGGTCAATTTGCCGTCCATCTTACTTACTGTACGGGCCAAAATTTCAAAAGTGAATGCTCATTTTGCTGCTCTAAATCTTTCTATCTCAAAGAAATGATTAAAGGAATGTTATCATATGTCTGAAAACCCTGTAGACTTGGATGTGACTTCATCCTTCCAAATCTTAACTTATGTCTATTTGAGAACGAAGCTGAGAAAGAAACTGAATCGTAATCTTACCCAAGAAGAGGATTCTAGTCGGTGTTTGAAAATTTTATCGCAGATCACAATGAAGAAGATAATAATGAACTGGCAGGGATCCAAGACATTTTGCCAAAGAAAGACGAGCAATCCTTCAACAAGGAAAACAAACTTGAGCTTACCTTGACAAGCTTTTTTACCATTGACTTTGGTTTTTCAAAGACTTAACGAAAGAAAGATGGAAGCGACTTTGAGCTAAACACAGTGTCCAATTTTCAAAATACAAGAATTTTTACATTGGTGAGCTAAAACTTACAGTGCTTATAGTTTGCATGTTTACACTTTTATGGAAAGCCATTGTAAAGTGCTATTGTTTTGGTGAGCCGATAAAAAATTTCTTTTTTGATGCCTTTCAAATGACTGTCAAAATGCATAACGTACACTTGTTTCCAGTTGCTCCAAACAGGAAGCTACATAATAAACAACTTATCAGCCTCGTTTTCTCGCTCCGTATTGTAAATATTAATGGAAAAAATACTCAGACCAAAAACTCGGCAAATGAGAGGTACATATTAACTGCATGCTTTCAAAATGTGTATGCAGTTATGGCCACCCACTGCGGTTATTAGTTTTGCTCAATGGAAATTAAAATGATTAGATATAAAAGTTTATATAAAGTATTTCTCAAACCAACAATATTCCCTCAACCCAATACATCTACTGAATCAAACAATGGTCATGAAGATCCGTGTTACTGGAAGGCTATCAAAATAATATATATCTGTTAATGTTAGAAAAATAAATTAAAATACAAAGAAAATGGTGTAAGTACAAAACGCTGAAATTCCTCCAGCTGTACTTGTTCAAATTTCAGAAAGGATACGTCCAAAACAGTAAGTATGTCTTGAATGTAATAATGAAAGTCAGCAGTTAAGGAGAACAACAAAATAATAGATAATACAGTAATGCTAGAGATGATGATGCACAGGATACCCAATTTAACCTGCTTTCTGCAGCATGGGTTGGGGGGATTCGGTTTAAGGAATCTTTGGGTGTGATGTGTGTGGCTGAGATCCTAAAACTTATATTTTTGCTACAATACACTCTAATCTAAACTCTCAAAATCTCTCCTAAGTCTAGAGTTGCTATTTGCTAGAAAGTACTGAGTTCACAAGTACAGCTCAGCCAAAACAGAAGCTTATTGAGGGGGACATTGGGGGGTACCCAATACTGCAATACCCTAAGAAAAATAGGCAAATACCGAAATACGGTGTAAAAAATCGACGAAATACAAATACAGCTTTTATGATCCGTCACGATTACTTAAAGTTGAATCCACCTTGCGTGTTTGTTTATCTCAAGCACGTATACACCAGAAATCAACCTCAGCTATCGCGAGAAAATGTGGGAAGACTTCGAATTAATTGGTACAATGATCGAAAAGCATGGTCATTGGATGTCCTAGCAATTTCATCATGGAGTAACTGTCAGAAATTGCGTAATCATTTACCCTTAAGTCAAAAGTCTTCCAAATATTGACTTACAATAGACAGGAGGGGCCAAATGAATGGTACGCCAATATCATGAAGGATCTTTTTTTACCAAATACTGTTAGCCAGAAGGATGAAAAACCGCATTTTGCAAAACTGGATGATACCACAATACCACACATTAAAATCAAAACTACTGAAATAACGCTTGAAAAAAGCTCAATACCACAACACCGTAAAACCCCATGTCCAACTACTTATTGAGCTCTGGGTAAGCCAATTAATAATTTTTTGACTGTCATTCCCCAGTTTTCCTAGTCTAGACTAAAATCTTCGACCAACTCCTGGAAATGACACCCTATTCAAGACCTAAACACTCTGATTTCTATATTATCCATTCCCAGACTAAACTGCTTTAAATCCCTTCCCTACACAGCAGCACATATCTATATAACCCATGTATGGCAGTACCCCCTTCCCCTGGGAACTGACTAGGGTTATTACTACTCTTGTTAATCCAGTGTAGGGTTACTAGCCCATAGGTTTCCAAAAGCAATGTCAAACTGAGTTCCATGCAATGGAAAATTAGGGTGCCCCTAAATATACCTTTGTTACTAAAATTATTGGGATTTTTTAGTTTTTGTTTCATGAGGATTAACAGTTAAAAAACTCGATTCCTATGTTTATAAGGTGGTTTCTAAGGACTTCATGATTCTAGGGTGGTTCTCTACTTTTTAAAAGAGGTTACACATGGTCGAAAATTCGTTTAGTTCTAGACTTTTTCTTTCATGTTCATTGTTACATGTAGCTATCAGAATATACTCATTTTGTTCAGACTATGACAATTCCAGATGGAATGAAAGAACAATTAAAAGCTCCTGCTCCCTTGTCATGGTCTTGAGTTATCCGAGTTTGAGTTAACAGAGTAAAAATGACTGAAAAGTGGGGTGAAATCCAAGGGAAATTGGACTTACGTTAGTTTGAGTTAGCAGGGAGTTTGAGTTGTTTGCTGTTGTTTGTTTATTGTTTTCTCAGCAATCCTGTGAGGCCTTCAAAGAGCCGTGTACTACCCTACATGTACCCCATAAATGTTAACTAAACTTGTAGACAAGTATACAGAGTAAGCAAGTAACTTACAGACATAAACAAGGAAGCTATAAAATAAAAGATGAAGCCTTTAAGAGCTGAGAGTCCAAGAATTCCAGCAGAGATTCCAGCCATGGATGCCAATGATGTCCGACTTTCAAAAAATAAAATAAATAAAAAAAAAACAGAAACTTAATATAACAGAAATTAAAACAAACTGAATTCACTTTAATGTCCAAGGTCTATACTTTAAGGACAATGGGGAAAGAACACTTTTTATAGCCATGGCCTGCAGTGTTTGTTGTTTTAGAGACTATCTTTCCAAATCAGCTGTTTTTTTCTGTTGAAAATTACATTACCCTATTCAGAGTTTTCAAAATTTAAGCCATTAGCTCTCGCATTCCATGACAATTTTCTATTTGCAATGTCACTGTAAGTGTTGCAAATTCTCAAAACTTAAAACTAGAAATGGGTGCCTGTGACTCTTACTTCCAAAGTTGCAACTGTTAAGCCTTGCCAAAACACTGTTATTGGATGATACTAATAATTTTTGTCTTAAAAAGTAACATTTGTTCAACCTTTATGAGTGACTACTTGGCCCAACTCAGATGGTGAACAGTTAAAAATTAACTTACCAGAAGTCAATAATGCTATTGTTTGCCATAATAGAAAATGGACTGAAGGCTTCTTCCTTTCCTGCATAAGCAACAATGACAGTAATGCAAACTTGGTGTGAATTTTGAATAGTAAAACAGGGTAGCATGAAACCCATGATGAAAGGCAGCTAAATTGCAGAGTACCCTGTAACTCCACCTGTAATTTGGCATAGCCATTAAAAATGGCCATGACATCAAGGCAGGAAAACATATTATGTTTATGGCTCATTCTCAAAGCATAAATTATTTCTGTAAAAATAAAATTGAAGGTTTAATATAAAAATTGTGACAAAAAGGGAACAAAATGAAAATAAATTATGTCTTATACCAACATTATTATACATTAAGTTGAACTGAAAGTAGATTTGAACTATCAGTGACTTGCTCTTTGAATCTTTTTCATGTATACACCCAATTACAAAAACATTGTCATAGAAAAATGAAAAAAAGGAAAAAGCCAAATAGGAATTAATTAGGCTAAGAAGCCTAATGAATATTTATTTGCAGCATCCGCACATGGACATTGTATTTGCCTGTTGGAATTTGCTATTGTTTTAAAGCTGAAAGACAATAAAACTGAAAATTCCAGCGAGGAAATGCAACGGCTGCAAATGAATCTACCATGAGAATGTGGCTTAATTAGCCTTTTTAATACCTATTTGGCTCTTTCCTTTTGTAATTTTTCTAAGACAACGTTATTGCAATTAGGTGTATGTCTGCTGGGAAAACTTCAAACAGATTCTTGTCTTGCCATGTAGGTTAGAATACATGTCCAATGAAAATATCACTATCACATTTGACAACATTGTTTTTACACTGGAACATTTTCTCAAACTTTTCAGAGAACTACCAAAGATATCATTAATTTATTAGGGTGTAATTTATTGTGCAGACTTGAATACTTTCCAGAGAATTTCCAGTGCAAGGAATACATTTGAACGGTTTAGCCACTAAGTGCATACCCACTTAACATGGAACATTAAAAGCTTGGATAAATTAGAAAAAGTGGATAAATTAGGAAAGTGTAGCTGCTTAAAGTCATTTTACTCCCTGTAGCTAGGGAGGATGGGTATTCTGCCAGCTTGGACTGTTTCCAACTTTGAACAATGACGTTTGTTTCTAAATGGTTAGTGTAAAAGGTAGACTGTGGACAAAGGAGGAGTTTGCATATATCCCATCATGCTTTGCGTTTGGACTATATTATCAAACTCTATTCGTCACGTGATACTGTTAGTTCAAGATGGACGCCGTGGAGAGAAGGCCGTGCGACGTGAAGCTATTCAAAGATAATCGCTACGTATGGCTTCATTGTATCGATCTGGAAAGCCGATTCGAGCTTACAGTCAAAAGCTTTCCACTTTTGAAGGTCAAGCTTGTTTACGGCCACTTTTCGTTCATGTGGGATTTGTCGGAACGAAGACTAGTAATGTTGCCCGACTCGGATGATGTGATGTCGAAATTAACTGGAGTAAAATCGCCTTGTTGTATCGACGTGAAGTCAAGTGATGGAGCGCCTTGCTCTAGGTGTATCTGTGTTCCATGACGATTCATGAGATCGGCGCTTGCTCTCGGGTTTACCCGGAGAGTCGAACGTAGGTACATGTCTACGTTTTAGACTTCCCTCCTCCATAACAAACAAACCTAAAAGGAACAATTCAGGACGTCGGATGAATATTTCTAGTGATTTAGATCTCAAATAATACCAAAAGGAATCCAAAATAAACCTAACGATACATACAAATATGTCTATTGCAAATCCATAAAACAAAGCACGTGGAAAAGGAACAAGATCATGCGGAATTTGCATCACACAAAAGCACCGTCAATTCTTAACAGACCAAAATTTGCACGCTTTTCTTGGTCGTCTACGGTTAAAACTAGAGAGGTCAAAAGAGGTCAAGACCCGTTTTCTGAATATTCAACCTTCACTTTCTGAAATGGAACTACCGTTGAGATTTATATTTGCATTAAACATTATGCAAATTAATAAAGATAGGAACCACTCGACTGTAAACACAAACACAAAGGCGCGCTATTGAAAAAACACTCTATTGTTTCATTGAACTCTTCACGCTTGACGACCATAAAGCGCCGAAAAAATAAAACTAACGAAAACTTGAAAGAAAAATTCATAAAAAATGGTAAAATCACTTACCTGGAGTACGCCAAAGTTGGCAAAATGGCAGGCTAAAAATCACTCATTAACGGAAAGACGACCGCCTTCGACCCGCCATTTTCATAACAAGCGTAACGAAATTGCACCAAAGCATGCTGGGATATATGCAAAATCCTCCTTTACTGTGGACTATTGTTTTCACCATGCAAATGAGCACATGAAAACAATAGTCCCATTGTTTCCCAACCCTAAAAACAGTAGTCCACAGTCAGTCTGCAGTCTACATTTTACACAGCTCCGTTTCTAAAGAAACTGTGGTTTTGAATTGGTGATGCATGAGGAGTGAAACACAAAGATTTAGTATTATCAACTGAGTGGATAAAATAAATTGGCCACTATCAAGGGATTGAAAAGCTGACATTTTGATCTATAGATCTTCGCTACAGCTAATGGCGACCTAAATATCAGCTTCGCAGTCTCTCCAGGTTATCAACTACTGTACTATACTCAGTTGATAAAATCAAATTTTTAGCTCATCTTGGGTGTATGAGCCTATATTAAACCTTCACTAGTGAACTAAATAAAAGAAAACAAAGAATTCAACGCAACGTCCACAACACAGGGAAAAAACGGGTACAAAACAAAGAAAATCTCAATTAACCGAGGTAAACCCTTTGGGATTCCAACTCACATTGTCGTGGAAATACCATTAAACTACTCGCAGCCCCAATAAATCATTCAAAGATAAAGTAATAATGATAATAAATCACTTAAAGGTAGGATTATAACACCAACATCTCAACTACAAGATCAAAGATACAAATAAAACTAGAAAATTTACCATGGATATGCTCTCCCTGTTCCGCCATCTTGGATTCTCCGAGGTGTCAGCTGTACAATTTGCGGGCGCATAAAGCTAGAGGCACCAGACCCTTTCTTCTGTCTGCGGAAACTCGATCCCGTACCCAGAGTTTTCTTGTTTCCTTCTATTATAGATCAATTTCTTTCTTCTGTTGACGATTACAGCAGCATTTCTTCAAGGAGGGACGTTTGGACAAGGTTTTGCTTTAATATTTTCGAGGCGATTAGATGTAAAATAGAGATCTGCAGTAGCAGGGTAACATCAAATTGTTCCAAAATGGTGGACGTGTTACTCTGCTCAACGTATGAAGATCAAAAGCGCGACTTTGTGTTTGACTTCAAAGATAGTGGAAAGATTCAGAGACTTACTGTACCAATACCAATTCCTATGAAAGTTACTGCAAAGGAATTTGTCCAAAGATTGATCCATTTTCACAACCTGCCCTGCTACCTTGAATCAGGTGAGGGGTACTGGGGAAGGGTCGGGGCGGGGGGTGGGGGTGGGGTTGGTAGGGGAATGAGAGTGTGTTTCCAGCTGAAAAGGCAGGGGTATATTTCATATCTTTCGACTACAGGGTGAGTAACTGTAAAGAGTCATATGCTCCATTTATAGTTACCTCAGAATTAATAGAGCTAACCATGGACCTTGTCTAAACAGTCCCAGTAGTAGAGACTTTTAGATTCTAAGATGAAAACAAGTTCGAGTATGTGATTTTCTCAATTCTAAGAAGTGCTTGAGCATGAACCAGTGTCATTTTGGTGGGAAAATGTGCAGGGTTGTCAACCCCCCACGTCTTCAAATATTGAGAAGCGATAGGGAAGGGATGATAGATGACATCATATCGCATAGTATATGATGTCATTTGTCCAAAATGTACTTGTCGACCTGATCGTCAGGAATTTGTGATGTTTCACATTATTGCATACCTTGCAAAGGCATAATATACTATACCAAAGTTCATGAGGACACATTTGATGTTAACAGTAAAACAGCTCAAACAACGCAAAGTTTATTGTCAGAAAGTCAGTGAATATCCGGGAGATTTCATACTCTAATCTGGAGACCAGGAGATACGGTCCAAAATCTGGAGTCTCCTGCCAGAAGAGTTGAAAGCACTGAATATGATAGCCATCATCACTTGTTACCAGGACTTCCAAGAAACAGGCCTCAGGAGTTTATACAACTCCGCCCCAGTTGTGCAAAGGCTCAAATGTCTTTGTGATTGGAAACAATGGTTTTCGACTTTGACTCATTATTTTTTACAAGATTATTCTTAGATCTCACCACAGTAATTTGTAATAAGATCACATCCATCTATCATATAGTGTTCTTCAGTTACTTGTAGGTTCATGAAATAAACAAGTATATGATTATCTATATGGTATTGGTTTTTGTTGTGGTGTTAACATACAGGGGGTATGTATGTTTCCTAACGTGTCTAGTCTAGTAAGAGAACGTATTTGCTAATAACTAACCTCGCGAAAACAGGCCAACTGGAATTCTTTTGTTTCATTCTCTTCTAGAACTGACAAAAACTTTGGATGAGTTTCACAAGTCATCTTATCAAGAACTCCATGACAAAATGGCATGTACAGCTCTTGAACAAATGAAACAGTCGTCGCAGAATGCAAGTGATTATGTGACGTCATGGACAAATGCCTTCACTCAGGAGCACAGCAGCTACAGTTTTGTTAGTGATAAGAGTGAGGAGACTGTATTCTCCGAGATGTACAAGTCTTTGATTCATTCATCTGCCCTTGAAACTCTTTTGCAGCTTGAGAACACTTATGCTTTGGCAATGGATGATGCTGTCACAAAAAAGGAGAGTGCAATAAAAACCATGGAAGAAAAGTATGTTTTAAAACCCTTTCATTCATGCTTCCCAAATAAAAAGAAAAGCATTAGTTATTCAGCATACTAAATTTCTTTTTTATGGTCATAGAAGAATCCAAAATTATGTAGGAGGTACAGTGTAAAATCAAAGGCATGCACACACTTTACCAAGTCTTGGATAGATCATGTGCAAAGGCCTTACGCAAAGTAGTGCCCACACAATTCCAGGAAATGCTTCCACTTAGTTTAATAATACGTATTTAGCACAAAGTAATAACCTTGAAGCACGCTGTCTTAAGTACTGTAGTCCTCTGTTGGAAGAGGGATCGCCATTGTTACATGGCTACTTGAGCCATGCAAAGGTAAAGCCTTTTTGCAAACAAGTGCAGTATCTTCCTACCCGGGTTTTTGAAATTTCATAACATCCGTTGCTTAATTGGAAAAAATAGCTCTCTAGAGAGTGCTATGTACATTTTTTGTTATACCTAATGTGCACTTGTGATTTTATCCACTTGCTCTGTTATATACGCATGAAACTTAACCTGTTTTGTCAAAGAAAATAAAGTGTGATTTCTTGCATGGAGGAAAAAATTTTTCGACGCACAAGGTGACATATATAATTATCTGATGCACTAAGTTTCACTTCACCTTCATGTCATATAGCACACTGATGACTAGCCTTGAAGAGAAAATGAAGCATGACTTCTTGCATCAAGAAAAATAACTTTTTCAATGCAACAGGTCACCCCTCACCTTCATCCTATGTAGCACGCTGATTACCAAAATTGCCCCATTTTTGCAAAATTTCCTTTGACTAGAAAAAAATAAATTAATGAAATGACAAGCAATGACTAGAGAGTAACAGACACTACTTGTTTACAAACTGAATCAAACAGTATTTTGTATCTGGCCTTCAGAATTATCACTTTTATTACAGACATTACAGACATTATGGACTTACAACATGCCCGCATAGTGTTTCGCTTTCTATGGAAACTGTAAACACAAAAACAGGCAGCAGACTGGAATTTTCAGGACAGGAATTCCCAAAGCCTGCTTATTCTGAAAACCAAGTCGATTGCAAATCATGGTTGTATTCCATAAAAAGTACTTTTAGTCAAATCTTATCTTTGTAAGGCAATTTGTTGGGGAAAATTTAATAACAAAAATTGTCAAATCATTCCCAAAGTTATTGGCAATAAAATTATTTGTCACTTAAAGAAATTACAGGGTTAATTTCATAAGAGAATATTATTTTAATAACAGTTATATGTTTGTTTCGTAATGTAGCAAAATCTGGTTACTTATATGCATTAACGTGGAACATGTAATTTTACTTCTAGAATAATTCATTTCATTACTATAGCTGACACGTGTTTTTGCTACTCTTTCGAATAAGGCAACAACAAGAAATGGAAGACTCCATTAACAACCTTGGCCTTCTCACTACCGACAAAGACGTCAATGATCTGGCAGCCAGACACTGTGAAGATGCACAAGTTAGTCAGATTTTTGTTACAAACTCTTTTGACATCTCCTTGGTCAGAGTTCTTCCTTGCAGACACCCACCCTCTCTTAATATAAATTTCATGTGCCTAAGTAAACAATTTTATTTTTTATTTTCCTTTATGCCAACTGAATCAAGAGAGATTTTTGTCTGTGTCAAGAGCCTAAAGTCAGCACTAAGATTTTTAATGTACATAATTTCATGGCAGATGTTTTTTCATAGATGCTGGAGACATACTGGTCCAGTGAGCTGTCACAACTTCAGGAGCTACAGAAAAGAGAGTACCGAGAATGGGTGACAAAAGTTCATGAAGACGTGGTTCGTGTCACCTCAGGTTTGCCACTTCCCTTTTATGGTATTATCATCTGCAGTTCTTTCATGGATATAAAGGTGTAGGAAACTCTTAGCCGGTCAAACTAGATCCTGCCTGAACTATGGCTTTTTCAAATAGGTAACTTTCCCAGGGATTTCAGAGTCATAAGTTTCTCTGTCCCAGAGATGTTATTTGCTCAAGAGAAAATGATAATGTCAATGATGATTGTCATCATATAATAAATTTATGATTACTTTTCACAGATCCATCATCAACCTCTGATTCATTTACAATTGGCAAGTGAGTATTGTTTGCATTAACTGTGAAAATAAGTCAACAGGCACCCTTACATTGTTTCCTAAGTACCCATACACACTTGAGCGGACTTTAAGATCATGCAATTATGTGACAAAAATGATGCTGTCACACAGCAAATGAATGTGATTGCTGAAATTTAATTTTGAAATTGTATAATCAATTGAATTAGGTTTCAGAGTGAGAGTTAGCGAACATTATGGGCCCATTTCCTCCTCATCAATCCTCGGAAGTTTCAAATCATCCCTTAGGGAATTTTACTGGAGTCACCAGTTCCAGTCTGAAAACTTTAAAATCCTCCACTGGTTTAAGAGGGGTATAAAAAGGCAGTCTATATCTGGTGACTACAGTTGTCTCTCAACTGAGACAGGGAGTGATATAAGCTGTCAGAAATTTGGAACAATCTTTTGAGGTCAAAAGAAAGCTCTCAAAATTGGGTGTTTTTTACCATACCTAATTTAAATATGTCCTCAGCGTGTCCATCTGTGCAGAGCATACCAGTGAATGAATTTTCAAGCACTGAACATGAATTTAGGCTTGAGGAAAGTTTTACTGTTCTACTTGGTAAGTACAATACAAGCCTCAACAGTTGAACCTTGGTTATTCAGACTCTTAGATTATCCGGACTTGTTTCCCTGGTGCCGTTTTTTTCAACATTAATATGTGATCTTCAAAAATTGAAATGATTACAAGTTCATTAATCCTTCCAAAATGTAATGAAATAGTGTTTTAATCTGTTTCGAACATGAACACTCAAGAAACAGTAAGTATTTTTATTTGTAAATACATTTTACTTAAAGACTGTATATAATACAATAAAATTATTTATTGCAAGTAGGAGCTAGTTCATAATAAAATTTTGTTTCTTTATTCCCCATGTTGACATTATTGTCTCAATAATATTCATATTTTCGAATATCCAGACTTGCAATTATCCAGACTATTTAAAAGTGCAATTTTTGCAACCCTTTAGACCACACACCAAAAACATTCTATGATATCTAACCACCACATGATATCTGTTTCTATGGCAGGAGCCCAAAAGAAAACAACACACAATCTTCGATTGATCTGCGGCAATGTTCTTGACCTGTGCAAGCACAAGACAAGGCCTGGAGGGTAAAAACCTCTCAATAACCATGATTCTTTATAGTTGTTGTTTGCAATGAAAACTCAGATTTTAACTTTTATTTTTAATAATTTATTGGAAAATAGAAGGAAAATAGAACCAAAAGAAATCCCTAGCTGTTTGATTCCCCGCCTATCTTGTTGTATTTATCTGGCAACTTGAAATGTTAGTGACATCGCTAAACTTGTTTAAGGCTTTTTATTGATTATTGTTGCTGCCTGCTGTAATTAGCCTGTGCCATTTGTTGGTAGTGTCAATCAAGTCAGGTTTTTCTAATTTATGGTATTTTAGCAAACTGTAAACTTACCTTTGTTTAACTAGTAGTTAGCTATATTATGTCAATTTCAGTTTGTAAACTGCTCAGATGTTATTGTTAACATGGTTGTTTGTTGTTGAAATCAAGGTGAAAATGAACCACTTGGCACAAACAGAAAATAAATTAGTGTTTTTTTTGTTTAGATCAGTGTTGTCACAGCCTCACAGAATACAGACAGCTTTGTCACTCTACTCCGAAACACTGTCAGGATTAGTTCTGTTGGTGGAGGATCGCATTAATACATACTCAGGAATTATGAAACGTAAGATAAATCAACATGTTTTTCTCGTTTTACGTATATGTTGCAGTTAATTTTCTATCTCAGGTAATTTTTATATATGTGTTATTACAAGCGTATAATAGGCATCCGAAACAATTAAATGTCCACAGTCCACAATTCCCATATTTAGACAGTAAATAAAAAAAGACATCATTAACAACATTTTCTTTTTCCGCGGTGGCGGTAGCATGACTGCCAATGACGATGTTATATGAATAAATGGCTTTACCCCAAGATGCTTTCAAACCCCTAAGGCACATTATTCTCATCATGAAGTGAATGCAGCATTTAATTGTTGCTTTTTCAGATTTTTCCAAGATCTGTCAGCAGTCTGGAACAGAATTTCATTTTCCTGATCTTGACAAACAGCTTTGTATCATTCAACAAAATTTTGAAAAGAGAGAGCGCACAAAATCCACATCCAGCAACCAACTGCAACAACAGCAACCTGCAGCTGATGTGGCTCTACGACCAATAACTCTCAATACAGGTTAGTTTAGTTCACCAAGAGTTGCCTAACGTCATCCCTAACCTGTGATCAGACCCCATGTTTACTAACTTTCTTACATTCTCTTTGGTAATTGCCTTTACCAAACAAAAATAGAGCTTTATATTCGGCTAACTCAGCCCCAGGCCTTGAAGTGCTATAGACCGTGTTGGTCAGGAGCCAGGAGCCCAAAGGCTGCTTATTCAGTCTCATTCTAAAAGCATAATAGTATGGAAGTGTACCCCTTGTTTGTGGAAACCAGATCATGATATCTTGTTTATTTTTTGATTGTTTCGTGATTATAAAATGTTCATCATTGTCATATCTAGGAGAAATTTATATCACACGACACTCAAACCTGGCTGAAGTACATGTGGTTTTTCACCTGGTGGTTGATGATAGTGTGAAAGCATCCAACATCAGCACCAGGAATCCTGTGATTGTGGGTTTACGGAATGCATTACACACGGCTGTCAGACACAGTATCACCACTATTACTATTCCACTACTATTATTTCATGAGATGACTGAGGTTAGTTTGCCTGTGCATATATTTTCTCACACCTAATTCACATGTTCACATAGACCATAATGGATCTTGTTGGTTTACCGCCCCAAATTTTGCATAACTATTGTTAATAATTTCTCCTGGGCATTACAACCATTCCAAGAGAAATAGAAGACAATGGTTATACAAAATTTGGAGGGGGTGCATTGTGGTCTACCTGACCATAACGTACGCCACCCAAATTTTTTTACGCGATGCACCAACTATAAGCAACTAAGCCTAAGTTTTATCATTTCATTATGTTAGATTAAAATACTTGGTTGGTCCCGCTAGAAATAGTTCTCTCTTTTGCCATATAATAAGTCCTTTGTTGACTAAGCTCGCTGTTTGTTATATTGCTGAATCCACGAGCAGGCAAGATGAAGTGAATTCCGCATTCTGATTGGCTACCCGAGGGCGCAAGATGGGCCCACCTTGCCTTCTCGGGATTTCCCACTTTTTTCCCCCAAGAAAAGGTGCTGTGTTTTGGGCATTAAATAAATCCTCTATCGACCAAGCTTGTTCAGTCAAGATGGCTGTATATTGGCCTCTTTGAATAACGCATTATGTATATTCATTTTAGGCTACGTTTACACTTGAGGAGACAACTCCAGAACAGTTTTGTACCCGAATCATTTTGCCGTTCACATGCAAATTCGTAAATCCGAAATATAGACCTCCCGGTTTGGTTGCTTGTCTGGAAACTGGAATCTTAAGTGATTATTTTTCATCTGAATGAATGTACATGTAAAACCTTGCCATACTTTGCTCTAGTGTTGTGTTTTTGTGACTTCCTTTTTTACCCAACTGGAACACATTTTCACATGGTTACACAATGTAAGTATTAAAGAAGATAAATTTGTTTTTTTTCTCTCAGGAGATGACTGTGTCCTGGTGTATGAAAAGGGCAGAGCTGATATTGAAATGCGTCAAAGGTAACGACAAGCCACTAGAATGTAAAAGTGAACAGAAAATTTGGAACGTACATCACATAGTAACGATCATTTCGCCAGTTTTGAAGCGAGAAGGAAACTAGGTCAAGTTCACTTTCGCAAAGACTTCTGGAACTGTTGCTGGTGACCGGAAAAAAATTGGCCAATAGGTGACTGGCAGGTCTCAAGTGACGATCCCAAAAGTCTTTGCGAAAGTTAACTCAGTCCAGTTTCCTTTTGGTTACTACAAGTGCCAAATTGTAAGCATCAAGAGAGAATAACATATATTAAAGGGTGGTTTTGATTCGTTTGAACAGGCCGAAAAGGTTGAACTTGATCTGACACAGTGAAGAAAGATAAAGGAAGATGGCGAATTTTAAGCCCAGTAGTGAATGAAAAAGGCGTAATAAACTTCCATGTTAGGTGCATGCCGAAACAAAGAAAAAACTTTTAGTCCTGACAGGATTTGAATCTGTGAGCTCCCAAACACCTGGTGGGAGCTTTATTCGCACCGATGTGCCCGCGATGAAACGCCCTAAATTGCCTTTTGACCAGGAACGTTCCCTTTAAAAGGTTATCGTCGTGGAACTGATTATATTAAAGGTGGCGGTATTAGTTAAAGTCTCGTCAAGCTGCTCTAGTTAAAATAACATTTCTGATATCATTTTACATAGCACTACTGAAATGTTTGAAATCAGGTCCATGCTAGCGCCTTTAATTAACTTCTCTAGTTCTGAATAGGTGAATGGTTATTCCAACTAGGGGTTGTTGAATGTGTTCTTTGTATATGTTACTACTGATGCAGGTATTATGATGGAGTGTAGCAATTGGAGTGGATCAGAGTCACTTAACTTGCAGTTCATGGTACCTAAGGTTGGTACCCTATAAATTGGCAGAACTTATGTTTGCCTAATAGGGCACTTAATATTAGTCAGAACTGGCTGGCCAGACCTGTCCAGTCATATTGGTCTTTTCGCCCGAAAGTCCATTCACCCGATGGTGTTCGTCAGGACTTGAGTCGATTCGCCCAATGACTTACAACACTCTACAGCATGGTGAACATATTTCTCCGAGATGTAATTTTAGTTAACCTCGGATTCGATATGTGCAGTCACTCTCTTTCCATCCTAATTCCTTTTTCTAAAGAAAAGTAGACAAAAACACTTCGGGGGAATCGACCTGACACCATATGGAGAATTCATTGTAACTCATGACTATCCAACCAAATCAGTCTATTTCTAACCAGTTTGCACGGCATTGACGGTTTTCTATCGAAAACTCTCGTAAAGTGCCCATCACAGTTTTCAAAAACAGTATGGCTGGCCAATTCTGGTAACCGCCCTCAGTGTCAACTTTAGGGTGTTAGTCTTGTTATAATTTTTGGGTCCTGTGCTTTTTTTTAGTTGTGATTATGATTCACCGGAAAAGGTGATTCTAACTTTCGTGTCTCTAGCTAACAGAAACTTTGTAAGAGAAAGCTTTTCAACAATGGGCTCCTTCAAAACTTTGCAATATAAAAGTTTCCTGTGCTATTGTATTTGTTTCAGTCTTGGTTCACTTATCGTTTGTGAGATGATGAAATTGACGAGGGAGGATTACTTTTTTTGTAATTCAGTGATAGCAAAGATGTTTAACAACCAAAAGTCGGGGATTCTTTTTCCTTGGGCAAGACATGACAAGACCGGACAGGACAGGGGCCACAGGGGACACAGGGGATGCAGGGGACACAGGGAATACAGGGGCCACAGGGGACACAGGTTCCACACTAAAAGGGACACAGGAGACACACGGGTACAGGGGACACAGTGGCCACAGGTTCCACAGGGGACACAGGAAACACAGTGAATGTTAATATCGCTGAGTAGAGCCGTAGAAGCAGCGTCCCAGGGAGCATCCATAATTATTCTAGTAGCGTGCTTCTGAATGCGGAGCATGGTATCAGAATGACCAATGAAGCTGTAACCCCATACGCAGGCAGCGTAATCCAACACAGCCTGCACAAGAACATTGTAGAACATTACCCTTGCACTGGAAGTAAGAAATCGTTTCGAACGCTTGAGAAGACCAAGTCTCTTGCAGATTTTCTTACTGGTCTTTTCCCTTTCACTTTCAGGGTATATCCGAAGAAATGTTTCACTCGTTCAGTCAAGTACTTTCCGGCATCTTTCGTGTATCCAACCCTTTAGACCTTACTTCAGCAGCCAACAGATGACGTCACCTTTCGTGGTGGCAACTGCTGTAAGTCCAAACACATGACTTGGCCACTGGACTACCAACTGGCCAGAGGATTGACTTGTTATGC